TCGACCTCGATCTCAGGTAACGGTGCTTGACTGTCGAGTTCTGGTTGAAAAACCAGGTCTGAAAATGGAATGACGCGACTTGTAATGAAATCTAATAATGTTATATTTAGGAGAGGTTATGCATAGGTAGAGGGTACAGTATTGAATGATTTCTCTCAAGGGAAGATAAAGTTAGAGCTAGTTGTCGGTTTGGTCAATTTTTGTCGGCGGGACCTCCCATTTCGCAGGCCTGAAATTTGAATAACCTTGGAACAGAGGTAGAAGAAGAACATCACATCTTGTAGAGCAGACAATTCTCTTTCGAATGGTATATGACTCGCTGTAAAAGCATGGGGATTTAGATGAAAATTTTTTGGTTGAAAAAAAGCGACACTGTTTATGAGACAACCTAATATTTAGGCGACACTCTTGCAACATGCCTCCTTACTGGATGAGACTAAAACTCATCTTAATCAACGAACGAGCTATTCAACCGACATTAACACCTGACCATTCTCGCATCTCTGCTTTTGCCGACAAATTCAAAGAAAAGCTGGACAAAACCACGGAATTCTGCACAAGTGAGCCACGCTCTTTCATCGCATATGAAAAGCTTGACATAACACTGACAATCTACTACTAAAATATACTAAAACATGCTACGCTAATATTCTCTCGAACTTTGCATTGAACTCTCGGCGTCCGCGGGAGGACTGTGTAAATGCAGACCTATGGTGACAACCGTACCCACGACGGCTGAATTTGTCTCGAGTGTTGGGCGCGCACGTTTCAAGGAAACACATGAGCAGTATTTGTTTTTTACAGGCTACTCGGTCATAAAGGCTGTTATTCATACTCAAATCAGATGGCTATTTCCCTTTCTCGTGGATTAGCACTCAACACCACAATGTAATACAGTCGAGATCCGAAAGTTGGGGTAGGCGTGTCACCGGAAGTGACGTGGACTTGATAGAAGTTGCGTAGATAAGTCGTTGCCAGCATGCTTTGCTGATATCTCGCGATGTATATTGGAAGCCCCTTATCCACATAGATTCTATCAAGTACACGTCACTTCCGGTGACACGCCTACCCCAACTTACGGATCTCGAGTTATACAGTCGATATCCGAAAGTTGGGGTGGGTGTGTCACCGGAAGTGACGTGCACTTGATAGAAGTGCGTGGATAAGCCTGTGCCAGCATGCTTTGCTGATAGCCAGCGATGTATGTTGGAAGCAGCTCTTCCACGTAGTTTCTATCAAGTACACGTTACTTCCGGTGACACGCCTACCCCAACTCACCGATATCGACTGTACCTACAAGTGTTATGTGGAATGGTCTTTATCTTGTAAGCTTTTTTCCGATGGGAACCTGCCAAATCCGGCAGCAAAAGTTTCGCGAAGCGCAAAGCGGGAAATTCGCTTTTCCTGTTGGGATGAACCCATAGGCGGACTAGTACATGCAAACAGAATTGCGTTACCCATTATGGGCGCTTTCATAGTAGGTCGTCTGATTATAACGATCGCATAGCATTAGGTACGTATCGATCGCTCAAATCGTCCGTCACGTCGACGTTGGCCTAAGGCCGATGTCAGACTTTGCGAATCGCGCGATTCGCTACTAGCGATTCGCGCGATTCGCTAGCGTCGCGTTGCGGTACCAGCCAATTGAGTGATTCACTGGCCGCGACGCGACCGCAGACGCTAGCGAATCGCGCGATTCGCAAAGTCTGACATCGGCCTAAGGATGGTCGTTTACGATTGCACGACGACTATAAACGCGTCCCATACAGCAATGGCGTTGCTTGCTTACCACGCGCTTTCCAGAGACCAAAACTGGCTCGTCCGCAGCAACCAAGCCCTCCATCCCTGGCTCTATACGAGTCTATGAATGGGTACTAGACTTGGCTGGGAGGCTAACAACACTCATTGTATATCGGCTGACCCCCGCAAGTCATTGTAGTGGTCAAGTTGCATTTAAGATGCTACTATTATTCTGAATGGATTGGAATACGTGACGCGAGCTGAAACGAGATTGATCAACGTCCAATGGTTTATTCTTATTATCTCAGCAGTGAGAGGATTGAATGGTTCGAATACAATACAACAATTGTAATAGCTGAACTTTCTCTCTTATCGTCGAATAACATTACACCAATCATACCCTGACGTGAACCTTCCAAAATGAGCTCCAATTCTTCCAAAATGAGCTCCAATTCGGGACTGAAGAAGGTTTGGGACGAGTTACGGTGAGCAAGTTGCTCAGCTCTTTTCTTTTTGGATGGATTACGGTAGCCGAGCGCATCTCAGGCAGTGACTTTCAGCCACCAGGACGCTAGGTGGGAAAAAGGGGTCGTATTTGCCTCGATAGGAGGCGCAATGGATCGCAAGCACAGGGGTTACTGTAATGTAGGGGTCAGCAACAGAAAGGTTCGTGCAGCTGTTCCTCGCTCATTGTCATCACAGAAATACGCCAGCACAAAAAAGAACCAGAGAGACCCTGGCTCCGCACTTCTCTCTCAGTCATCCAACATCATCCATTCGGTTCTATTCATAATAATTTATTCACATTGGCCCTGACAAGTTGTTTTGAATCGCACGATAAAAAGGAATGCGAAAAAACTGGAAGAATAGTAGGGAAGAAGGATGTGAGAAATAACTCCATGAATGTACGTAAGTGGGGTGCGATTCACTGACTAGAATAGTTGAAGCGAAGCAGCACAACGTGCCAAGATTCCTAGAGAGAACAAATGTGTTTGCATTTGGATTACTGTAACTTAGTTTGATCTCAGAACCTGTGCCTATAAGTAATTTTCACATGTTTCGGAGGCTGAAAGAACAAATCGTCTGGTTCCTTCCAAAAAACACACCAGTCAAGGTCAAGCCTTTTAAAAACTGAAAACCGAGCAGCTCGTTAAATCGGCTAAGCGCCGTTGTTGATGGTCAGCGTGCGTTGTCATGGCAAGCAGTCGCTCAAGGCCTACTATGGGTTTTCCCTCTTGTCGATCACCGTGGCCCATAAGAAGATTGGTGAGCTTCATTAGCTTTATATTTACTTTTTCATAATGTTTCTGGCATACAACACTAGTGGTTTTAAAGAGTATTTTCCGCTGGTGGTTGGAACCTAAAAGCACCTAGGGAGATTATCCCAAATCTCTGGGAATCCGCTCCGCTTAGGATCATCCTTCATCGGACGGTAGATTAGCCACAGCTAAACAACGATGGCCAGAAGCAATCCATTGGATCTGTTTGATAATCAGAAAGGAGAAACGGAACTCTCTTGTCCTCCTGTGTGAAATGCTAACTTTTCAAAGTATATGTTTTTCATAAAGTAAATATTCTGTTGATCACTTAACACAATTTCTCTGGAGACAAGGGGATAGGAAATGCAAAGTGTTACTGTTTTCATTTGCCAAAAATTGTCGAATATACCCAACTCTTTCTCTTCGGTGATGGGCTGTTGCTATAAACGTATTAATTAATCAACCTGCTTGTTCACAGAACTAATAGAAGCCCAGAGAGCCAACTTCACGTGAAAGCTCTAGAATCTTTCTGCTTCAATACTTCATTGAGTTTTAATCCTATGACTTGAATCTGATAGATTCTTAAAGGACGAATTCACGATGGAAAAGCAACCCATTTCAAATTAAGTTAGGGATGGTGAGTGGTACACGAAAGAAGGAAAAACCATGAGAAACGGCCCAGAACCCGAGAAATGGGACCCCTTCCTTGCCCGTTGATTTGAGCATTGATGCGACTCTCATCGCTGTGCCCTCTTCAACGCTACGCTCTCTCTGCTATCTAATCACTCGCCACGTATAGACCTGCGGCGAGTGATTAGATAGTCGGTGGGCGTACCGCACCAAGCTGCGCTAGGAGACGATACCAAGGTACGAGGTACTATGTATGATACCAACCAGGGAAGACTTTCGCTTCCTATGTAACTCTAAATTGAGACCTAGGCGCATTGATAAACCCTGGGATGCCGGTTAGAACGATGAAGTTCAAAATGGCGACACAGACCTGCTAATGAAGTTGCGAGTACTTGCCTTCGGCTGTTTCTCGTTGACAGGACCTCCAAACCTTTGGATCAGTGACCTACTTAGTCTGATAGAGGCAGGGAGGCTCTTACGATTGGAGGCTTTTAGTTTCATAAAAGTACAGCATAGGAAATATTCCAAAAAGTTTGCTTTCAGCTACTTTCACGACTACGACCGGCAAAGAAGAAGCAGCCAGCTGCCCCTCGCCCACAAGTTCGACAGCAGATTCCTGATTTGGAGGAATTCTTGATCAAAAAGGATTACGCGGCAGCGATCTCGCTACTAGAGGTGAGCAAAAAGCACCATTCAAGCTGAAATAAAAGAAAGGTAAAGGCCACGCTGGGATGTGGACGGAGCGATCCCTGTTTGGTGATCGCCACTGACAATGAGAAACAAATTTTCTCGTCCACGCGCGACCTCAACCGAGTGGTGTAGGCATTGTTGTTTTTTATGACAGAAGCACTACTGCTACCATTTGTTAGACGTTTTTGTTCCAGTTCAAGCAGAAAAATGGTGAGAAAAATGAGACGACAGATCTATGGTTGGGACATTGCTTCTTCAGATCTGGTGACTACAAAAAGGCGTTGGACGTGAGTGAACAGTTCAATTTTGTTACTTTTGTGACTGAAATTCACCTAATGATCGAAACTGAATTACATAGAATTGGGACCGTTCCTGATTTCTGGGCCACCTGGCTGTTTTTCCCATAAATTTTTTTTCCTTCTCTGACCTATTTGTTTGAATTATGTATGCATCATCAAGTATGTATGCATCAAGTTATCAGCCAGTAACTCACCAGTGCGTGGGTAGGAACTCAGCTCTCTTGCAATACCACACATCTAGTCAAAAAAAGTTTGATGCATTTTTTGACATCATCTTGGTTATAAAGGAGTTCCCCGAAAAACGGCCGGGGGAGCAAGAAAAACGGTCCCGTTGGCGAGAGGGAGAGGCCTAGGATTATGGAGGCGAAGAGCGAGAAATGCCCGCTGGGAGTAGTTTTCAAGTCTCGATGAGTTTCTTCGTGCGTATGTGGTCGACTGCTCGCGCAAAAGTAATTTATCGTCTTTTCCTGTCCATCCACAAGGGGGTGTTGAGGGGAACCTTGCTTTTTAGTGGAAAACGGATTGCTAGCATCGTAGGGACGCGAGGGATGGGACGACAAAATCAGGTTTCATAATATGAGTGGGGCGTATCAAGAAAAAAAAGTGCACGAATGATTACCTTTGACAAGGTTCGAACCCGCGCTGACCAAATTTTGCAACCGAAGAAGATTTATTCGGTGTTAACACACTTGTTTTTCGCAGCTTCCGCAAATAGTGTACCTTTTACGATGGATATGGATAAATCTAAGGTTTGTTGAACGTTTTAGCGCGAGTCTTGGGGGGTGGTCCGCTCTACTGTTTGAATAGGGAACCAACCCCCATAAGCCAAACCCAAATGGCTAAAATATTGTTATCTAGCACGGCTTTGGTGACTCGAACCATCAAACATTTTATGGTAAACACGTCCAGTTCTGCGGGACGGGGTGTGCGCGAGCCACTTCATTTTTTCTCCAATACTCAAGATAAGGATTAGAGGGCTCACGACACGTAATCGACTCATTTAAAGTAGACTTCTGATAAATATTGGTGTAATGGGTGAGAAACCCTGAAACGTTTTCACATTTCCGCCTGCCATGACCCAAGGGAACGGTCCTGGACCAGGAGAAAGGACACCTCCGCAAAGGGCTAAGGGTGCAGGAGCTCCAGGGTGGATCACCTGTGCAGAAAAGTGGATGGGATGTGGGCAGGTAGTGTGGAATGTAGGACATCCACCGGTCCTTATCAAAAGTACGCTCGAAATGAGTCGTTCACTTATTATCTTATCCGTAGTGTTCGATAGCCCAAAGAACTGCTCTCTAGTACTACGGATAAGATAGCAATGGAGTGGCCCCCCCGAACTGGAGTTTCACCGTAATATGTTCTTTTTTGGTACTGCTAGCATAATCGTTCAGCGAAAATGAAACATGGTTCTGCGTTCCCTGCATGCGTCCCTACAATATGCAAGAAACCGTTTTGAAAAAGCGTGACTTGCCCTGAAAGACCCCCTTGTTAGACCGCTGCGATCAGCTGTTGAACCAGCTGATTTCCGCATTGGCTGCGGCCTTAGCAGGTAGAAGCTCTAACTGCTCAACTCCTCAGTGTTCAGGAAAATCGGAAATGCTTGACTTGTAGGCGGATGGATTCCTACACTAGGAACTCTGAAACGTTGAAGCTATGTTACTGGCGCTCCTAGGGTTGTTAAGCGCACACTACCTCCTTTTCATCACCACTGATCATTCTGGATAAACAATCGAAGGAATGACGGGAGAGGGAAAGTTTGGTCGCGCTGAAGTGCTTTGCAAAGTGACTGTGTAACGCGCCAGATTCTTCTTATGGTTAGCAGCGTCACGTAGAGCCTCACTAGTAGTAACGTAGGAGCCATGGGATGGTTGGTGTGTAGATCTGCACCTGATAAGACAAGCCAAACCCGATAGATTCTGACAGTATTGTTAGAGAGCTTGCTCTTACGAATCTCGTAGTAGAGCCTTTGCTCAGCAGGGCCTTCATAGAACCCTGAAAAGAATTCACAAAATTGAGGCATTGAAATAGCTTCCAGAAAAAATTGAAGTCTCAGCCAAGAAAACCAGCATGCAAATAAGCTGAATTGCTTTTTTTGGCCAAAGTCGATGCTGTATCGCAGGCTATGCCTCTAGAATCCAAGATTTTCCTAGAATTTTCCATTAAATAAAATGCAATAAATAGTTGCTTAGAAATTGTGGGCCGACCTAATACTAGCACAGTGAAGAACGGTTTCCTGGCACGGAACAGATTTTTTGTGGTATGGCCGTTATGCAACTCACCGTGAGCATGATACTTCGAGCATTTGATATATCTGAGATGCGGAATGAGTTTCAATTTGCGAAAGTTGAAGTCAGGGTAAACCAGAGTAGGGAGCAGGGTCAACCGTAACGTTCGCACTTTTTCAAAAATTTCGCGAAAATTTCGCGACCCCCTTCTGCAGGGGGAGGGTTTCGATGCGATTCCCTACAACCACCATGAGACTCAGGAGGCTCCAATACGACCACCTTTCTTCCTACCCCGACCACCACCCTCACCATCATGGCTGTTTCTATAGTATTTGATTCTGAGACCAGTCGACACAGCCCAACTCCGCCCACTTTTCCTCCAAAACGGCCGTCGAGCGGGGGTATGCTAGTCCTTTTCTCTACTCCCACCTACCCTACCTCACCCTGTTCGCCAATTACATCCACTGAATCCCCAAAAAAACCAATCTAAATGGTCTCACCATTCACTTAACAAATCACTAATCCGAACCAACCCCTAAATGCGACCCCTCCCAAAACCAACCGCAAGATGCGACCCACTCGTTCGAATGGTGCGAACGCACGGTTGGGCCTGGTAGGGAGCTCCCCAACACACGAGAAGGGTGTTTTGTCCGTTTGTGATTTTGGAAACGAAGTAAGAACATTCACGTTGGTTTTCTTAGAAATTTGGGGTAATTATAACATTAAGAAAATGGGAACTTCTTGGAAATTTCAGGAAATTCTAAATTTCCTTTTTTTTTGACTGTAGTCCATATGTTCTCCAATAGCCTTATTGGGAAATGTGGTAAAGTAAATTGTGGATAGGAATAGTTCCGATGGGGTAGGAGAGTTGGACGACGTATGCTGCTGAATTTCCTCGTCACGCTACGTATCATCTGAAGAATATGATTCTAGGTATACGAAGACATGAAAACTCAAGGCATCAACAATCCTGATCTTCCTGTTTATTTGGGAATATGCTTCTTCTACCTGGGCATGCATGAAGACGCGAAGCTCTCTGCCGAAAAAGGTGACATTTACTTATCAGTTTTCAGGGGTTTCGTCGAACTAGAGTTAGATTTGCAGTGAAGGGTCAACCAATGAGTAGTGCAACTATCTCTTTTCGAAACGTTTGAACAAGGGTCGTATTTGTGAAAGTTGACGAAGGTCTGGTGGATGATCGTCACATTGGCCCTTCGGCCCCTGTCTCATTTATTAACTTCATATAACTAACACAGAATGGGGTTGCTACGCTCTTGTGATGGTAGACTGGATTAGTTTATTTCCCTCTCTCAGGTTTTCAGTTGATTCTTCGAAGATCCATTAGAAATGGTGAGCCTTGGCCCACTAGACGAGGCGTTTAACGGTTCCAAAGGCATTTCTCAAGCCTCAGCCCTTCGAGGAAGATCATCTGACTGCAACGTAAAAAGCGTTAGAGCGGTAGAAAGGTTTCTACCTAAACATCGTTAGTAGAAGGATACATAGAAACGTGAAAAGCAATGCTTTCCAGCGAAACGATCTCACCCAGAAATAGACTGCTGTTCCATGATATCGATAAGCTCTGTGTGAAGGAAAACGATCTGATGCAGCGATCACAACTTCTTGGTGTAAGTTTCTCACAACGTTGAGCTGCTGACTTGACTTCTAATTTTGGTTGCTGTTTTTGCCGCAGTTCGCTTTTCGAATAATAATGGGGGTAGTGGATATGAGCGAAACTCTTGGCCAGGGAGGCGTTGTTTCAAATTTGTTTCAATTTTTTTCTTTCACAGAGGACTGAGGTAAAGCTGTGCAAAGTGGGACTCGAGCAACAGGGAGCTCGCCAGGGAGGATCCCTGACCTCTTTCTTTGTCGAGCCTCCTCTTCGAGCCTTGCGGCTTTTTTGCGTTCAATTCCCTTTAAAGGAGGAATTCACGATTAGAATGAAGGTCGAAGAAAGGGAAACTGACCTAGTTGAGGGACCCACGGACCTCCTGAGGGTGCGAACTGACGCGCAATTCGCATGGAAAAATTTGACCTCGGCGACCTATCATGCCTCAAAGCTGGCGGGTCCGGCGATCTCCGCCCACCGATCATCTGATCACTCGCCGTAGTTCAATACGTGGCGAGTGATTAGATAGCTGAGAGAGCGTAGTGTTGAAGAGGGCACAGCGATGAGAGTCGCATCAAAATCAACGGGCAAGGAAGGGGTACCATTTCTCGGGTTCTGGGCCGTTTCTCATGGTTCTTCCTTCTTTCGTGTACCACTCACCATCCCTAGGTTAATTTGAAATGGGTTGCTTTTTCATCGTGAATTCGTCCTTTAAAGAAGAGTTCAGCAGATATGAGGAACACATATTTGAGCTCAGCGTCCCAAGGCGCGTATACACATATACATCTCATTTCAATTGGCCGGGTTGACCAAATGACCTTTCCTGGTGAGAAGTGAAGAGCACATTCCAGTCTATAAAATTTTCTTCTTCTTCTTCTCCCTAGCGTTAGTCCCGCGCAGTCGCAGGGTCCGCTGTCTTTATCAGTCGTCGCCACTTCGCTCTGTCTAGGGCATCTTCTGCTGTGGCCGTGATTTCACTTAGGTCCTTCTTGATTACGTCCTTCCACCTCTTCTTTGGGGCACCTCGCGGTCGCCTTGCCTTGCGCTTCGAAGTCTTCGTTCGAGGTCCATTGACATTCTGCGTATAAAATACACGTCATAAGCCATGTCATAGCCTTCTCCGCGGCGACATCAGAAGAACCTGCTACGGAAAGATGATGAGCAGGTCACGCTCAACGTGGTCCTCAATGGATCGCCGACCGTGACGACGTCATCTGAAACGCTGGTCAGAAGAGGTCTTGCATAGATTGAGCTACTCTCCCTCTCTCTCTCTTGGGAGCTCTCCATCTGTTTTCCGATTGAGGAAAATTGTGTAGCTGGTTAAGGCTGAAGTGGTCACGGTAGGCTTTCTTGACGACGGTGGTGGCAGATGTCGTTATATTCTGCAGATAGGGGAGCAGTAGCAAGACCATGCATCTGCGCATGGAGGAACATTCCACGACTATTTTGCCGAAAAACTCCTATTGGCCACCGTAAACTGCGGCAATTTAAAGCCTGCTGATCTGCGTCATGAGCACAGTGTTTCTTTTTGGCACCCCTGTATATCATGCTCTAAGTCGGAGACGAATAAGTAATTTAGGTTTAAACAAGCTTTTACGTAAACAAGATAAAAAGTGGGATTTTTCGAGTGATAGCGCCATGCTCATGGTGCATCAGTAATCCACATAGAGGAATCAAGCATTCCATACATTTTCTCATTCTACTTTTTGTCACATAACGGCCATGCAAATCAAGGCATTCAGTGAACATATGACGACGGATTAGGCAATGCTTCTTTTGCAACAGCGGGAAGGAATCACTGGTCCTTGCTTCCACTAGAATTTCTAGAAATTTCACATTTTCGAAGAACAAACTCAAATCGCAATTCATTATGTAAAGGTCTTTCCCACAAGCCTTCACTGCAAATTGAGTGCATTCAGAATACAATGGAGGATCAGCTCTCCCTTGCGTCCATTCATTATATGCGAATGCATTACATGGAAGCTATCGAAATTTACAAAACTATTCTGCAAGAGCATACGTGAGTTTGTAGTTCCATAAAGTCGGGCTACGGCCTTTTTATAAGCAAACATTTTCTCTGGCTTGGGACACAACTGACTGGTGCAGTTTTGGCTGGGTTGCAATTGTAAGGATGATATTCGAGACCATAGGAGCTTTTTGACAAAGAGAAAGGGGCATCTACAGGGGGACCAAAAAAAGCTTCACTTATTCAAATCCAGAAACGCAGAATAATTACTTTTTGCATAGAACAAACCGAATCGAGTCAACTGCGAATTGAAAGACCCACTTCTATTCTATGGTGAAAAAAAAATTACATATGGGGTTTTTCTAAACGACAACATTCAGGAGGCTTTTACAGGGCGACATGTTTGTGCACGGTACGAGGCTCAACGGGAGATCGTCGAGAAAACCATTAGACGATTAGTCTCTAAAACGTTTGCTTATAGGGGGACATCTGGAATTATTTCGCCCGTAATAACTCCCAATAACAGCGCGGGCATCTATGTGCGGCAAATAAAGTTTGATGATAATGGCATGGGCAAAGGTAAACTTCCCCCCCCCTGGTTATCGGTTCGGCGTATCGCATATGGTGGTCGGCGTCTATCGCGAAGTAGGCGCGGAATTGTGCGGGTTGGACAATGCTAACTTAAAATCGCGTACGACATCTCCTTTTGTTGGAATTAATACTAAGCCTTAGGCGGGGAGGGGTAGGGGGAATGAGCAATTCCCAGCAGAAAAAAGAGGTGAGCGTCGGTACCTCATATGGGCCTCGCTCTGCGCAGGCTGCAGAGATTGATTTCTTCATTGAATTAGTGGTTGTTTAGGATGGGTCGCTGCTCAACGTCTACAGGCACATGTGCTACTACAAAATGGATTACTTCGATGTAGCTCAGGTTAATTCTTGAACAATAACCATTCGTAACTGGAATGATGATAACACGGGCGATATGAATCCGAGACTTGCCACCCTCTCGTCTGAGCTCCTCCTTCGGAGATTGCTTCAGAAGGCGTACTTCTTGTGCATTATAGTCTTTTTCTCGTGGCACCTCAGGCAAACCGTTGCTGGGATTTTAAGTTATAAACGCGCTATATCTATCCGGATTTTTTTTCGCTCCTCAGCGACAAAAGTAACCCCTGTCTGGAAGTGAGCCGGTACCTGGTAGTTGTTTCGTTGAAAAAAGGCGTTTTCTAAAACTGGACAACGTGATATGCGGCAATTTAATGGAATGCAACATGCACACAACTTCGATGCGGAATTTGTGGAAGAGTTCAACGCTACTAGTTTGATATTTGAAATGATTTAATGGACGCGACGGTACTTACCAGGAAAGGCATTCAACTTCCCATGGAACTTTGAGATGAGACCCAGATATATCGATAGAGCTTCAAACGCTGATTACAAATATGGAAACTAAAACTGCAAAATGAACCTGCCAAGGAAGTTGTGAGCAGTCAAAGTTGGCTGGAAGTAAAGCATTACACTAGCCCGGGCTTTCAGAGTCTCCGCGGAGCAGTGGTGGTGCCCTCGCTATTCACCCTGGAGGTCATAAGCTCTCCTCCCGTCGGAGCGCAAATTCCGAAAGCCGGAGGCTAGTGTAATGCTTTACTTCCAGCCAACTTTGACTGCTCACAACTTCCTTGGCAGGTTCATTTTGCAGTTTTAGTTTCCATATTTGTAATCAGCGTTTGAAGCTCTATCGATATATCTGGGTCTCATCTCAAAGTTCCATGGGAAGTTGAATGCCTTTCCTGGTTAGGTCTATTTCTACATGGCATTTTCTTGCTGTTGCGGTAAATGCTTGAAAAGGAGGACTCTTCGTTTCACTGCTTCATTCAATCCAAACGCGCTTTCAAACATTTCACTACCTTCTTCCATGTGGACGATTTAGAATGTCGTCGTAACATGAGTAATATTTAACAGTAATGAACCAAAGCAAAACAAGTGA